CCCCACGGCCGCGCTCGGCACAAGTCCATGGCCAAGACCTATCGCCACGGCTGCAGGGCAAGCATCAACGGCTCATGGGCCTTCGATGCCCCGCGATGCGATTGCGCGTACAACGGCCTGCGAGCACGAAGCACGGCGCCCCGCCCCCCCGGGCGCGCGGGGGCAGCGCCGCGCCTGAGGAGGGCGCGCCCCAGGCGGCGGAAGAGATGCGACGCTGCCCAGGCCAAGCCTCCGGCCAGCTTGGACGATGCGCCTGCACAGCGAACGCAAGGCCCCGACACATTAGGGGGGACGCGCGAGCCGCCTGGCGCGAGGGCGCGCGTCGCGAGCGCCTCGCCGATGACACGCTGCCACTTGGCGGTCTTCGCGGGTGCGGGGCGCGCGCAGAACGCGCGCGGCAGCACCTGGCGATGCGCGCAGCCGGCCGGCCGGCGCGTCGCGCCAAGGCCGCCCCGCCTTGATTTCGAGGCCGAGGATGACCAGCGGGGACCCCCAGGCGATCTTGTCCGGCGCCACCGCGCCTGGGCCGAGCATCAGCTGAATTAGCTCCGCCAGCTGCGCTGCTGCGTGCTCCACCAATTCGGGGTGATCCGGCCCAAAATATTCATCCACATATCGCGGCGCGGCGATCCGCAAGAGCACGCGCGCCGCCTCCGCGATGAAGGCACCCACTCGCGCCCAGCTGTGCACCGACGACGTGGCCCCGAAGGGCGCTGCCGCGTGCTGCGCCGCCCAGACCTGCCCGGCGGCGCTGAACACGATCCAAGCGAACCGGCGGTGCTCAGCGCGAATGGGCTCGCGACGAAAGGCAGCGTCGATGTCTGCCTTCCAGAGGGCGGGTGCCCGCCCCGCAACTTCCTGGAAGATGCGAGCTGCTTCGAAAAGCGCGTCCACGGCATCGTGGTGGAGCCGCTCCTGAGGCCGCGTCGCCTCGTTAATCCTAGCCTTGGTCATGTCGTCGACCAACCGGAGTTTCGAGGACCCGTCTTCACGGAGCTGCTCAACCGCAAACCTCGGAGCGATGACGGCCCCGTCCAGGCACGCGTCGCGGAGCGGCACCGGGCAACTAATGCGCCCCAGCTCGGCCTCGTCCCGCGCCTTGCGGAGGATGGCGTCGCCGTGCGCGCCGTCGCGGAGGCCACAGGAAATGTCGCGATTTGTCGACTCGGCGTTGCCGAGCAGCTCCGCGACGCCCAGACGGGGAGGGAACACCTCTGGGCTGCCGTGGCCCGACCGCGGGAGCTCGCCGACGAGGGGCGCCCCCGTCCTGAAGAATTCCACGCAGCCTGGGTCGCAGAAGGCAATGCGCTCCGCGATCTCTGCGCAGAGAGGCCCGTTCACGCGCTGTGCGACGCGCCGCATGGCGGGGTCCACCCCCCGGAACCATTCTTCCACGGCGCCACTGGCCCGGAGAGCCCGATCCCTTTCGCGAAGCGCCGCGAGTTCGCCCTCGCGGAAAGCCACCACGACGGCGGGGGCGGTCTGCGCGGCCCACCGCACTGCCTCAGCGGCCGTGGGCGGCAAAGCCGAGGCCGCGGCGGGCCGCCACTTGCCCCAGAGCGCGGGGTCGCCGTCCAGCGCCCGTGCCAGAAAGGTAAGTTTCTCCGCGTCGCCGCCGCTACAGCCGCCGGCCGCGACGCAGATGTCGCGCCACGCGCTGTCGCTGCAACGCCGAGACCAATCGCTCCTGAATTGCGGCCCTGGTGGCGCTGGCGGCGCCGGCATCACCTGACGCGCGCCGCTGGCTCACGCGCGACCGAGAGCCGGGAAAGCGCGCCTTGCGAGATTTGGCGACGACGCATGCAGCCCAGGCGCCGCCCGCTTTCGCGCGCCGGATGCGGGCGGCGGGGGCGGCACCGGCACGGCAGGCATTGCACAAGATTGCAAACCGCGGACGTGGACAAGGCGCCAAAGCGTAGCGAAACGCGCCCTCGGAACGCACGCTGCCCCGCGGAACTCCCCCGCACGCCCCGCCCAGGCTGGCCGCGGCCAAGCCGGGCACTCGCAGCGCGGCGCGGAAAGCGAAGCGGCCTCCGCGGCAACAGCGCACGCGGCATGTCCCAGCACGCGTGTGGGGGTCCTGCGCACGGCGCACGGGGCCATTTTTAGCGACAAAGCGTAGAACTATCGGGCGCGCCCGGGTCACGGCCCCGACCCGGCGCGGGCGGAGGCAGGCTTTTGCGCGCGAGCCGTTCTGACGGCTGAAGGGGCTCCACCCCTACGGGGGCTCGCGCGCGCCCTGCCAGGGCGGCGCTCAGCGCTGCGCCGGGCGCGGCGGCGTCCGTGCCTTCCTCGTGTCCATTTTCTTCCAATCGCTGCCCCACGAGCGCTCGCGCTTCTGGCCCTTCGGCCAATCGCTGCCCCAGGGGCCGCTGCTCCAGCTCTGCGCGGCGCGCCACGGCTGGCTGGCGCCGCCCGCCCCGCGCGCCTTCTCGGGGGCGCGGGCCGCCGGTGCCTGCGCGCGCGGAAACGGCGGAGAAAGGTGGCAGAAGCGAATCCGCGCGGCGCGACGCTCGCCGTCGCGTGGGTGGCGCCGTCGTCTTTGTCGCAAGCATCCCGCGCCAGCTGTAGGGCGCGCGGGTCGACCCGCAGGATCGTCTTCCCCAGCTTGAAATCTGGGTCCCCCGAGCGCAGCTGCTCGGCCCATAGCTGCCACGCGCCGGCACAGACGCAGGGCGCCGCGCAAGCACGAACGCAGGGGCGCGCCTTCCGCGCCTCCTCGTCGCACACGATACCGAGGTGCACGCGGCGCTTCGAGGCCGCCGCCTGCGCGGCAACGCGCGGCGAACACAGAGCGACGAGAAATCGCGCGCGTGCAGCCTGAACCGCCACCTTCAAGCAGTTGTCGCGATGCGCCTGCACCTCAGCCCACGTGAGCTGGCCCGCGGCGACCAGCGCGACCATGCACCTGCCGCGCGCGGCGCGATAACAGGCAGGCGCGCGGGGGGGCGCGCGACGGGCAGGTGGCGCCGGTTCCAAGCCAGTTGCCACTGGCAGAGGGTTAAGTAGGCCTTCTTCTCGGGCCCTTTCTTCACCGCCGCCACTTCCCGCGGGGCGAGCGCCCGCGCGCGGGCCAGGCAACGCGCGCGCGGCGCGAGCCTCGGCGAGGTCACGAATGTCCTTGCTGGCGCCGGACGATCCGTCAGCCTCCTCTTCGAAATCGCGAGGGCCCGAGCGGGCCCACTCGGGCACCCACTTGCGGATGTCCGAGTACAGGAAGACGCGCGCTTCCTCGCTGGATTCCTTCTTCTGCCGCTTCAAGACTTTCGTGTTCAACGCGTCAAGCATGTCGGAGCTACCGGCGCACGGGGCCAGATGCGAGAACCAGCGCGCGCGCGAGCGCGCCTGGGCCAGAACTCTTGCGGGAGGTTGGCCAGCGACGCCTTGCCGAGGAGAGGGCCCAAGAGTACGCGGGCCGGCTTTTCCTGCGAACGCGCCGCGCGGGGCCACGCGAGCCCGAGATCGCGTCGAGATCGCTTGCGCCTCGCTGGCGCCCGTCTTGAGCGCGGCCAAGAGGGCGGCCGCGTTCTCCGCCGCCGAGGGCGCTGGAGGGGCGGCCGCCGCCGAGCCCCCAGCCACTGGCGCCGGCGTGCTCGCCGCGGCGATCCCCGCGCGCACGAGGCGCTTCTGCGCGGCGTCGAGCTCCTTGTCGGCAAAAGAGAAGTCCTCGAATGCCGCGCCCTCTAAATCGGCGATCGTCACCACACCTTGGCCCTTGAGCGCGGTCACCGTGGCTTCGAGCCAACCGGCCTCGTGCGCCGACGCGCCGTCCAAGGCGCCAAGAAAACTGCCGAGGTCGCCCATCGCGAAGAGCGGCGCCGCGCGGCGCGAGACAGCTTGGGCGCCCGAACTCGGCGAGCTGCCGGCGCGAGCGCGCGCGGGGCGGACTGCGCGGGACCCCAAGAGGTGGCGACCAGGCCTGCGCCCCTCACGAGAGGGGGAAGCCCAGGGGCCTGCGCCCAACCCAAGAGAAGGCCCGGGAGCTCTCCCAAGAAGAAGCCAGAGCCCAGCCAGACGGGGTCTCGGGGCCTGCGCCCTACCCGACACAGGGATCAACGGGATGCGCCCTCCCCCTCTGCACAAATGGGCCCTGGGGCCTGCGCCCTACCCAAGACAGGGATCAACGGGATGCGCCCTCCCCCTTTCGCACGATTGGGCCCTGGGGCCTGCGCCCTACCCAAGACGCGGTACCAGGGGCCAGCGCCCTCCCCCACACAAGACGAGGAGCCAGAAGCCAGCGCCCTGCCCGAGACAAGGCCCGCGGGCCGACCCACGAGGAGAGCGGTGCCCAGCAAGACGGGGTCCAGGGGCTTGCGCCCTACCTAAGACAGGGATCAACGGGATGCGCCCTCCCCCTTTCGCACAGTTGGGTCCTGGGGCCTGCGCCCTACCCGACGCACAGGGATCAACGGGATGCGCCCTCCCCCTTTCGCACCACTGGGTCCTGGGGCCTGCGCCCTACCCAAGACAGGGATCTACGGGATGCGCCCTCCCCCCTTCGCACCGTCGGGTCCTGGGGCCTGCGCCCTACCCAAGACAGGGATCAACGGGACGCGCCCTCCCCCTTACGCACGATCGGGCCCTGGGGCCAGCGCCCGACCCAAAACGCAGGGATCCTAAGGCCTGCGCCCCCCCCCCGCACGAAACTTGGCCCTGGGGCCTGCGCCAAACCCGAGACCAGGAGCGCCCCTGCCGCGAGCCAGGCACGCAGCCTGGCCGAAAGGCCAAGGCGACGCGAGCGAAGTGCCCACAGGGCCCGCGCCAGCGAGGGCCTGCGCCCAAGAGAGACGAGCCGCCGGCAAAACGACGAGGGAGCAGGCAGGCAAGCAGGCAACCGCCAGGCACGAAGGCAGAATCAGCAAGGCAGGCGCCAAGCGGCAGGCGGCGGACGGGAAAGCAAAGGGGGCGCGCAGGGGCGACGGCGACGGGAAAAGCGAGGCAACGCGACGCCGAGCGAGCGAGCAAGCACGCCGACAAGCACAAGCCAGGACGACCCCACGCGAGGCAACAGCGACAGCCGAACGCGAGGGCGACAAGGCGACAACAAAGGCGGACGCGAAAAAGGACGCGGCGACGAGCAAACACAAGGGCGCGCAGGCGAGCGAAGAGCAGGGGCAGCCACGGCGCACGAGCAGGGCACGAGGGGCAACGAGCACAAGCGAGCAGCGGGGGAGCGAACAGGCCCCGAGGGACGAGCACGGAGGGCAGGCAAGCAGGAGAGAGCGAGAGAGAGACGAGGCGACCCGCGAGGAGAGGAGGAGAGGAGGAGCCCGCGAACGACGGCGGCGGCGCGCGCGCGCGCGGCGCGCCCCACGCTCAAATCCCGAGCGCGGGGCGCGGCCCAATTCCTGCCTGCGGCCAATCAGCGGGGCAGAGGGGGAGAGGGGCCTGCGCGAGAGGGAGGGCGGCCCGCCGATGGAGCGGCGGCGGCGCGCGCGCGCACACACACACAAACACGCAACACACGCACACATTCACACACACACACACACACATTCACACACACACACACACACACACACACACACACACACACACACACACACACACACACACCCACGCAACACAACACACACACACGGCGCACACACACAAACACACACACAGCAACACACACACACACACACCGCACACCGCACACAAAACACACACACAACACACACGCACACGCCACACACACACAGCACACGCACACGCACACGCCACAACACCCCCAACGCACAGCCACACGCACACGCACACGCACACGCACACACACAACACACACGCAAACCACACACACACAACCACCACACGCACACACACACACACACGCAACACCAACACACACACACACACGCAACACACCGATGAAAGAACGCGCGCCAGGGAAGCAACCGTCCGCGCGCGCGCGGGGGCGCGGGCGCCTCAGGCGCCTCCTCCAAATGCAAATCGCCTGCGAAGCGCACGCGCCGCGGGGGCAGCGACCCCCCCCCGCGGCGACGCAACCCCGGCGCTAGCAAATCACTTGCGAAGCGCACGCGCCGCGGGGCAGCGACCCCCCCCCCCCGCGACGCGCAACCCTGGCGCGCGACGGCGCGATGGCCCGCGCCTGCGCAGCGAGGCCGCGGTCGCGTCGCACTGCCGCGCGCGCGACCTACGGGCAACCGTGGCCGATTTGTGCCCGCCCACAACGGTGAACGTCCGCGTCTGCGAGCGGACTTGCCGCCGTGGGCCTACAACAATGCCGAGGGAGTCCGGACCCACCGCGGGGGGGGGGGAATCTGGGACCACCGCGGGCCCATGGGGGCCCTCGTGGGGCCTCCCATGGGCTCCCCCGCAAGCTTCTGGCCCCCACCCTCAGCCGTGCCCGCCGCCCACGTCTCTGTCCCTCCTCCCCCCTCCTTTCTGCTGGTACGCCCCCCTCGTTGACCCTTCCTCCAACGCCGCCCGCCGACAATGTCACCTGCGAGCCTCACCAGAGTATAATGTAGCTGGGAGGTACCGCTCGCTCAAATGCTAAAAACAACGCGCTCCGAGCGCCATTCAACGGAGGCGCCCGCAGCCCGCATCATCCTTCGAGAAATGACCTTGCTCATCGTTCCTTCCCATAGTGTTGGTCAATTGTCCCGTTTCTTCCCTTTTGCCCCTCCGAGACAACATGAACCTTGCGAAGAACCCAAACGCAGTGCGCAAAATAGACAAGACCGCCCGACGCACACGAACACATTGATTTTCCCATGCGAAATCTACCACGCAAGTCTTCGGTTGAACTCATGAAACTACCGACCGCGTGAAGGCCGCGAAAAAATGGCATGGGCGGCGGCGAGCAGCCTGTGCCACAAAACCCTTTGGTGGAGTTGGCGAGGTGGGGGCGGGCAGGGGGGGGGGGGAGGTTTTTTTTTGGTGGAACTCCGTTGGGCCCACGGACCGCGCGAGACAGCGCCGAATTAGCCTGGGGCGGCGGCGCGCGGCCTGCGCTCCAGATTCGGCGACTGAGCACGTGAGCGGCGTTGCTGAAATCCCACCAGCCCTCTGGGCGTCGGTGGTTTAGAGCGTTTCTTCTTCCAACCCTCCTTCTTCCCCTTCGGGGAGGGGTTTACCCCTCCCCCCACCCCCTCCCCACTGACCTGGACAGGGGGGGCCGCGACGCGTTGGAGCGTCCAAGATGAGCCAAGAAGACTCCAAGAGGGCCTCAGGGAGCCCAAAATCGCCTCCAAGATGGTTCAAGATAGCGCAAGATGCCCCAAAATGGTTCCGAAGATGTTCCAAGACGCTCCAAGACCGCCCCAAGACGGCTCTAAGTGTCCACTAGAGCTCCCCTCGGATGCCCCCAAGAAGCCAACATGTTTCAAAACCCTAGGGGAAATCACTGTTTTTGGCGTTCTCGCGCTTTCGCTTCCGATGCCCACCCGAGGCGTCAAGATAGCTCCAAGATGGCTCAAGATAGCTCCAAGAAAGGGCCCAAGAAAGCCCGAAGACGGCGCAAAGAGCGCCCAAGAGCCCTCCAATAGCGGTTCAGGAGGCGATTTTAGAGGCTTTCCAGGAGCGACGCTAATTAGTGCTTCCGCTTTCTTTGACAGATCCCCTCCAATATGGGCTCCACCAGCGCCTCTGAGGCCTCCAACAGCGCTTCAAAAACGCCCCAAAAGACGCCCAAGAGGCCTCCAGGAGGCTCACAAGATAGTGAAAGATGGGCCAAGACGGTTCCGAAAGAGCTTCGGGGAACCCTAGATAACCTCCAATATGGCTGAAAATTGCGCAACTTGCCTCAAGATGGTTCCGAAGATGTTCCAAGACGCTCCAAGACTGCTCCAAGACGATTCCAAGCGGCTGCCTCCAGATAGCGCAACCTGCCTCAAAATGGTACCGAAGATGTTCCAAGACGCCACAACACCGTCCCAAGACGATTCCACATGGCCATATGAG